TGCCCCACTGCGTTGGTGATTCTCTTTCGTACCTCAGCATTTGAAACGTGGTCTTTGTACGAGATGTCGAGGAGTCTGCGGTGAAATATACATTAGCTAAATTAATAGTAATGCCCATTTTACTCCCCGCTGGTTTTGGTGATATAAACAATTGATAGCACCACTAGCAAGGGTAGCAACTCTCCCTTTGATGCACTGACACTTATTAGAAGAGACAAAGAGAAGACTATGAGTGAACATGTGTGTGTGTGTGCGTGTGTGTGTGCGTGTGTGTGTGTGTGTGTGTGTGTGTGTGTGTGTGTGTGAAGCTGATGCTGCTGGTGATGACGCTGAAGGTGTTAATGATGCTGCTGATGCTGCTTATGCTGGTGGTGGTGGTGGTGGTGGTGATGGTGCTGCTGTTGTTGTTGTTGTTGTTGTTGTTGTTGTTGTTGTTGTTGTTGTTGCTTTTGTTGTTTTTGATGATGATAATGTTCTGTTTCTCCGATTTTGAATCCTCTTTTCTTTTATTCCACTTTTAGCGAAACCATGCGGCTGGACACAGGACTGGTGATTGAGGTCTGGAACAAGGGCATGCTATGGGACAAGCTGTTGGGTCTACACTGGTTGCCACTGACCAAGGTGCAACACTCCAACAAGGTAACCTTTGTACGTAGCAGGCACAGGGTTGTTCTTTTCACACTTCTTGGTGATGTTGACATTCTTTTTGTTTATCGTGTTTCTGTTTTTGCTGTTTTTGATTTGGTTGCTATTATTGTAGTTGTTTTTGAGGAGGATGATGATGATGATGATGATGATGATGATGATGATGATGATGATGATGATGATGATGATGATGATGATGATGATAAAAAGGGCAAAATGATAATAATAGTAGTATAATAAGAATACAAATATGAAGAATAAGATTAAGAATGTTTGCTCTTCTTAAAAATGTTTTTGCGATTATTGTTTCTATTATTGTTGCTCTTATGTTGGTGATCGTGGTGGTTGTTTGTCGCTGGAACAGTGCCCTTCAAGCCACCTGCTGTAAGTGACAGTTATCGTGTTAATGTGATTCTTTTTGCTTTAATAAACTCATTGTTTCCTCTTATTTTCTCCTATGTTGTCCAGGAGGGCAAGGGAAAATGGCTTCAGCTAGACAGCGAGCTGGTGATGGACAACGGCGAAGTGGTGGGCACACGCCTGCCTACGGAGCACCGCATCCTCATCGACGCTCGTTTCGAGCTGCCTTACGGTGAGTGTTCGTTATGAAACCTCGTCCCTCCCATCCCTTCAATCCCCCAGTTCCCACCGCACCCCAAGTCTGTTAAATGAGAAAAGGATGAAGTAACACATTTTATTCTTTCGTGGACACTGGCCAAATTTCGCC